AAAACCACACATACACACACCCACACACACACACACACACACACACACACACACACACACACACATTCACAGGCAGAAAAAGACACACATACAAAATCACACACATAGACGTATACACATGTATAGAGAAACACACAAAACCATATATACACACATGTACACCCAAACATAGCCAACACACAGAAACACCCACAAACACCTTATAAACACATATACATATCCATACAACACACACATATATATGCACACAACTACTTATACACATAGACAGATAAACACAGAAACACATAGATGCACATTTCCACATATACATACACATATACACATATAAATACACAATAGACAAAACACAAATATATACTACCATACCATGAGGTACCATATTAATCCTATTGTTCTCATCTTTGAACTTTCAGCAAGCTATTAAAAAAATAAGCTGGGTATGGTAGCATGTTCCCATAATCTGGCTCTTAGGAGGCTGACACAGACGGTCATAAATTTGAGATCATCATTAATATTCATATATATTAATTCTTTTCTCAAACAATAAACCAGATGCATATTTATTAATCAACTAGATGATATGGTTTTAATGTCATTTTTATTTGTTCTTGGTAAATTTCATCCACATAAACAATGTATCTTTGATACCTGTTCCCAAACACCCTCCTTTTAATAAGAGAAAAAGGATAACTCTTAAAGGTTTTATGCTCCATTTATCTTCCCTTTTAGAAATTGGTAACTACTGTTTATGAAAACATATCCAAGTTTCTCTTTCAAGTCTTAACTTTCCAGTCTTTTAGAATTCTAAAGTTTCAAATTCAACGATAGCATTGCTTTTAAATAATCTTAGATTAAATGTAGTCACTGATTTATGATAATAGCTCATGGTTTAAAAATCATATAGTTTTATCAAGTCATTGAAAATGTATTTTACAAAATTATCTAATGTTTTATCCTGGTAATTTTAGAAACTGAGTCTTATAGCTGTGAGTCTAATTTATTCAGGAATAATGCAATTTCATTGCTTTTCAGAGAGAGCGCATTTTAGGTACAGAGTGAGAGTGCCATTGAGAAGTCCAATCCCACTGCTCTGCCATGCTTCACTCCATCAATCCAATTTGATGGACAGTTTGCAGAGGATGTAGATAAACAGTGGGATGAGTTCCAGGCTGCTCTTTGTTCCCATAACCATGGGGCCATCATGGAATTACTGTCAGTAATCACCCTCTTGTGCTGAGGGTAAATATTGAAACTTCTATGTCCAGAAAATCATCCCTGGGGAAAGTAGCCAAGTGAAGAACTTAGCCAAATCAAATATTATTGGACATTTTAATAAGCCCAGTTCCATTATAATCAGCAGAGATCTCAGACACCATTGATGAACCATTCCATTTTCCAGAGTCCTTGCTATTTGGTAGCACATCAATGTAACCCATGCTTGAATTGTTTTGTATGTTTGTTTTGTTTTTGTATCTCCTGCCATTTTCCAAAAAATCAGTTCTGCTATATCCAGATCCCATTTCCTGATGTGCACTTCAAACTGTGTCCAAGTTAACATAACTCTTTGACTCTTGTAAAAGGTCTTATAATCCTGATCCCTGTAGTTGTAGTGAGATTTTGTTTCCCCTACACTGGTATTCTAGATGAAGTTATCCAAACAAACAAAAAACAAGTTTAGTTTTTTTTTTTTTTTTTTTTTTTTGGTTTTTCGAGACAGGGTTTCTCTGTGTAGCTTTGGAGGCTGTCCTGGCACTCTCTCTGGAGATCAGGCTGGCCTCAAACACACAGAGAGCTGCCTGCCTCTGCCTCCCGAGTGCTGGGATTAAAGGCGTATGCCACCAATGCCGGACAAATTGTTGTTATTTTTTTATTTTTTATTGCTATCTTCTGGTTCATTCTTTTAACTGCAATAAAGCCACATGCCCACATTCCCCAAATCAGAGCAGAGCTGAAATGCCCACCTGTAGTTTCCTGCATCACCCAGTACATTAAATTAGACAATAAAGATTGAAACAACATGAAGACATAATCTTCATACAGAATTGGCAGTGAAACGTTACCAAGAGCCAATGAGCAAGTAACCAGAATGGTCCAACCTCAGGCTGTCACTTACTCTGACTGAATTCTAGTTTATCACCTCAAACCTCTGAAAATGCCTTCCATCCCTTTCCATCTAAACAGCAAGCTAAAAACTACAGTGAATACCCTGGTTTCATGTTGGTTGGAGAAGCTCTAGCAAACTTAGCTTAAGGAATCCACATGAATCAAATGTGACCATGAGCCCATCACCACCTTAGCTATTCTGGATGTGACTATGTTAAAGGAATCTCTATATAAACAAAGTGAATGTATTACTGTAGAAGTTAATTGCTGAGTTATTGATCACAGCATGCTTTCTATTTATCTGTTTCCTTTTTTCCAAACCAAACTCCTTTTCCATTCTCATAAAAGAAGCCACTCGGGGGTGAACAGTGATATTTCATCTTTCCTGGTCATACTTTTTTAGGAGCTTATAAGGTGAGGGCTAGTGGATAAAGCAGCTCTTGTCTTAGCAGAGTTCTTGGCTCATATGGAATGGACCATAAAAGCACACCAACAGAAAGAACAAAACCATAGTTAGGCTTTGGGCTTGAGTTTTTTTGAATACTGCACAGAAACCATTTTAAGAAGAGAAGCCATCCTCTGTCAAAAATAGACACTTTTATTAACTTGAAGAAGGCAAGAAGAGAAAAGCCAGGTGACTTCTTCAGGGACCAGTTACCCAGAGAAAAGCAAGTTCTGATATCTTATCAGATAACATCCATTCCTCTTCCCTAAGATGAACTTTTGGATAACGTTGGTCCCTAGAGTCACCTTTTACATTTTGTCCCATACTGATGGAAACGGTAGAGTGACGTCTGAATTCTAGAAGCATCATATTTAAAAACAAAACAGAAGGACAAGAGACTAGATGAAAGTTTATACCCAAAGATTTCAGATTTCAAACTTGGAATCTTCTATGTCCTGGTAGAGCACAAGGATTGCTCCTTTTTCTTCTTTACATTTAATATTTAAAATGGGAGTAAGTAAACAGGGTTGTCTTTATATTTTAAGCTTCTCCTTGATGGTTTTTTGTATGAACTAAGATTCACATATGAAATGTTCATGAAACTGGGTGGAGCACAAAGTCCACAGTCAGCTCTTACCATCCTCAACACTTGCTAGGGTTAGCTTTTATTTCATTTCTTTATTGTAACATACTATGCATGAATGTATGTATGTATGTATGTGTGTGTATGTATATGAATAGAATATATAGGTATATGTAAATATATATATTTTTTTTGAGACAGAGTTTCTGTATATTGCTTTGGAGCCTTTCCTGGAACTCGTTCTGTAAACCAGGCTGGCCTCAAACTCACAGAGACCCGCCTGCCTCTGCCTCTGCCTCCGGAGTACTGGGATTAAAGACATGTACCACAAACACCCTGTTTAAGGCTGACTATTTAGGATTTGACACCCTGATATGAGAATCAAAACTCATTAACTTTCAACATCCATTACCTGCCTGTAATTTTTCATATAGGATTGGGACCCTGTGAGATGTCTTATATTTATATTGGCGTGCCAAGTTGTGTTGTCATTTTGAAGGTCTTATTGAGGCTGACAGTTTTTTGAGGTTTCATGGTTGCAGCTTCCCTTCCATATATAGAAGTCATTGTCTCAATGACGATGTCCTGATCCTCTGGCTCTTAGAATCCTTGGTCTCCTCTTCTATGATGTTTCCTGAGCCTTAAGTGTAGAGGATGCATTGTAAATATATCTGTTGGGGTTGGTAACTCCATGGTTCACCCCATGGTATGCTGTGTTTTATTTTGTATTATATTTTGAAGCATTGTAGAGTTCTCCAATAGTCTCAATTTGCTGCAAAAAGACATTCCTTTAATGTAGGGTGAGAGCTACATTTACTCAAGGCATAAAGATAAGATTTTAATATGCAGTTAGAAATTATACTAGTTTAGGGAAATAGGAATAGCAGGTTCTTGTTTGGGGTCCATGGACTCTACAGCCACAGATAATTGGCAAGGTTTGCAGTACTGGGCATGGTTTGTTTCAAATTCAGGCTAACTGAACCCTGGTCTTTCTATTTCTGCATCTCCAAGTCAAGTATTGCAAGCTTTTCCTCTGCATATTTGTTTTGGTAAACATTCTGTTGTGTTCTTCTTTGTGGTCACAGGTGGAAATTGCAGAAATGGAGCCCTTGTATCTTGGTTCCAGAGTCTGTCAGGCAGGGGAGAACAGGCACCAGCGAGGCATGTGGGAAGGGATTGCAGACAAGAGGTAAGAGTTTTAAATTGCTTCCTGTTTGTGTATGGTTTAAAGCCATGTTACTCCATACTTGGTTGCTTATTCTTATATTTGGGCAAGTTGTGATATTTCTGGATTAAGCTATTGATATTTATCACTAAATGTACTCTTGGCATTAGTAAGTGTTGTTAGTTAAATGGCATTATTTAACCATAACATTTCAATGCACCTCCTTACTAAAGCAAAACAATAAATAAATATGTCTCAATCATAACTGACCTCCATATCCATATTATGAATGTATGTTGGATATCGGCCAAGATGTTGAGATGATGCCAAAATCAAATCTGAAAGTACACATTGCACTTTGTTTACATTTCATGTTTATGTGATGATTAAATATATGAATGGAAACATAACTGGGTGAATTGACTAATCTTAATGATCCTGGCTTAAGCACAAGTGTGTGTGGTGTGTGTGTGTGTGTGTGTGTGTGTGTGTGTGTGTGTGTGTGTGTGTGTGTGTGTACTATGTGTTTAACATGCAAAGGAACTCTACAAAGTATAGTAAGAGGCTTCTGTGTCTGAAGTATAGGTGTTTGATTATGATCCGCTGGGAAAAGCATCAGATCTCTGAAAAGCAGCCAGTGACTCAGACTGCTTCCTTTTCTGCCTCATTCCTAATACAGTTGCTAACTATATGAGGCTTGATACGAAGGACTTTATTCTGAAAATGCAATAACTTGGTCACTCCTGTTCTTCCTGCTTTTGTTGAAGCTTGTTGGTTTATTATCTAGTCACAAAACAAGAGAGATTGTGGCATTAGAAAACAATCAAAGGATAAAGGAGATGAGGGGCTGGACTGAAATCCAGAAGTCTTGTGGAACATCTGAGCAGGGAGTTAGAGCACTGAGTTGTCTTCCTTCATCTTCTTTAGCAGCCAAGTTGGGCAACATCAACACAAACACTCCCTTCGTCCTCTGCACAAACACACCTAGACAGGATTGGTTTTCTTTTTCTGACCTACAGAAAATGACATTTAGCATTTAATATTGCACATTGGATGTTCTTGACTGCCCAGAAGACAACCTTAAAAACCCTTTTAAATATTAGTATTACAAAATTATTAAAAAATAATGGGTCACTGGGTTTTGGAAAAGGCCTCCAGTACGAAAGAAAGCAGACTAGAAAGCAATGAATAGGAAAGAATAAAACAGAAAATCAATACAGGAAGTTGAACACTGAAGTTCTAAGAGTTAAAGAAAAATAAAACAAATATATGAAAAATTATCAAATAGGTAACCCAAGAAAATTGCCATTCTGGGAAACTGTACATTTTTTTTTTGTTGAACAAGGTCAACAAGATTGAAAAAGACCCATCATTGTGAAATTCAAAGACATAAGAGAATAATATGGTCTCCAGTCTTCCAAAGTAAGTTACAAGCCTGTCTTCCAAACACAGGGGCTCTCAGCATCAGCTTTGGAAAGCAAAAGGGAACAAATCAATCCCCAAGGGCTGATGAACAGGGTCTTAGTCTATATCATGATACCACCCAAGGATCAGAGTAAGATGAAATTATCTGTGGAAAACAAAATCCCCTAACATTTACCTAAATGCATTCCATCTCCAGAGGCATCTAGAAGATGTTTTTCACAAAATATGAGTGAACTAGGAAAATTAGGAATTCCTAGGAGAGAAGTCATTCTCTCTGATAGAGAGAAGGGGTGGGGGAAATTCAAGTCCAAACTAATCCTCACACCAGGCAATATGCAGGGAAACATTAGCCTACTAGTTCTACTACCCCCAGTGCTAATAATTTCACTATGAAGATTCTATTTCACCATGGCCAGGAGTCATATCTGTGAGAATTCTCTGTGGTTTCCAGTGACACAGAACTTCCTTGAAAAGGGGTTTGTGTAGAAAGCCTCCACCACTGGATCCTCTGTAGCTCAGGGGAGATGAGCTCAGACCATACAGTAAAACCTCATGAGTCATGCTTCCCTATTGCCATTCAACATTGTTGAAGAATGCAAGCAACCTTGGTGAGACATCCTACTTGGTAGGTTTGTTTCTATACAATTCGCTGGCAAACTCTGGGACTAGCTTTGCAGTCCTTACTTCTAGTGTGATTTTTGAGAGTGTCTAGAGCAGCAGTTCTCAACCTGTGGGGAACAACCCCTCTGGGGTTCAAATGACCCTTGCACAAGAAATCGAATTTCAGATGTCCTACCTATCAGATATTTACATTACAATTCATAACAGTAGCAAAATCACAGTTATGAAATAGCATCACAATTTAAGGTTGAGAGTCATCACCACATGAAGAATTAACCAGGTAATTGTGCTTAATTTAAATAAAAAAAGAATATGGGCTCATCTTTTGAGAAAAATGGTAATATAGAAGAACAAAATATGTATTCTCTTATTTAAAAAATAACTATCTGTAAAGTGGCAAACATTTTAGTAATGCAATGAGAAAAAGTAAGGATTCTGGAATTCCTAAAAGTGTGAAATTATATGTGCAGTAATTTTAATTTTGTTACCCATAGTGACTCCTTTAAAACTGGCTCAAAAGACACCCAGATGGTTTCCTTTTGGACAGTATCTCATTCATCAGGTGTTAAATGCCCCCCTGTTATCAGAAAGACAACACTGCAGCACTGTAATGGAGATGAAGTAAGAGACAGAGGATGGTGTCCTTGTGTCTCAGCTGTTCTTGGTATCTTTTTCAGTTTACTTTCACTGAACAATGTTTATTTGAAATGAAGAAGGCAGGTCTCTAATCATCATCATATCTTTTTGCTCTTCCTTAATTAGTTTTCATCACAATGACAAGCATAGACATCTCACACAGTAGTTTAAGGGAATCTGTATGCTTCGCCTTTAAAGAATCTTCTAAAAGTTAAAGGGTTTTTCTCCATTTAAAAATTTATGAAATTCTGGGTTAGCTTTACTTTTGAAGAAATAGGTAGGAATAGTTGAAGGAAATGTGTGCTCTAAAATTGTAATTATATAGCAGTATCAATGTTTGATCTCCAAGGATGGAAATATATGTGCTGCATGTGTACATCTGTATGTCTATTATTTTGGAAAGTTATGCCTGACGTCATAGTTTTTCAAAATCTAATTTATTTCTAGAGTCTTTAATTTGTGATTGAATCTGTAAAATTTGATTTATCAAAATTACCAAGCTTATGCAAATCATATGCTGTAAAGTATATATCCATAAAGCTCCCAAATCAATCAATAAATTATGTAAACTGCATTCAGAACCAACTACTCATGTTATAAATCTAAGTACTTTAATTCTCTGAGAATAATTATTGTCTCGAGTGCCATTGTTGTTATAGAAAGAAGGGGAGATACAAAGATCACCACCCACCATTAGCTTATTAACCACCCTGATCTAGAAAACACAAAAATGTAGCACAAATGCATAGTCTGAAACATTATAGCTTGTCAACCAGATGTCAAAGCTAAACTGCCAGTCTTAAGTGTTAGGTTTCTAGCACTGTGACAAGATACCTCGGAAAAAATCAACTTAGAGGAAAGAAGTATCTTGGCTACATTTTTCAGGATTCCAGTCCATGGTCAGGTGACCCATTGCTTTTGGAAGTGAGGTGAGGCTGAGTGTCTTAGCAGGGCTACATGGCTGAGAAGCTTGCTCACTTCATGACAATGAAAAGTAAACGGGAGACACCCAGGAAAGAGTCAGGCTCGAGCATCTCCTTCTAGAGTACAACCTCAGTGATCTGTCTTCCTCTCACTACTCTTGGTCAAAAAGGTGTCAATTCTCTACCCCCAACTCTCCACCCCCCCACCTTCCAACCCCTAGTCCCACCTCCACCGCCAGTGTCAATGGCTGGAACACTTAAGATCCAGAGTATAGCTATCAGCCACTGGTGCTTCCCTCTCCATGGCAGGTGTGTTTCTTCTGGGGAGACAAGGAACAGACTTCTAAATCTTTGCATTCTTATCTTCCGAATGGAAGTATACTTATATGACACAGGTTGACTCTGTCATGTTCACCTTCATAGACCACAATCACAAGGCTATTTCTGCAGGTTCACTGGGAGAAAACACATGTCTTGGTGTTGATTATAATAATCAAGAGCTGCGGTCAGAGATATATTTATTCTTTGCCTTTGTTGTTTCATTTGGTTTGTGCTCATTGTTGGAGGAAGGAATGTATTTTCTAGAAAGAAAAGTAGAGTGTACTTCCAGACTTAAACAGAAATGAGCTACATTATCTCTGGCTGTGGGCATGGTCAATCAGGAATGGAGAATCACTAAGAGCAATATAACCTTTATAAGGGGTAGAAACATTAGAAATATCTGTGGATTTATGGGAGGGAGCAGTGATCTTGCACAGCTTTTAGTCCTGGAAACCTGATTGTGGTAATGAGATAGTGAAGAAAGGACAGACACACAAACAGTACAGAAAACCTGGACTTTCTACTGTGACAGAGAGCCATCTGCAGCAGCCCTCAAACTCAGAGCATTTGTTTCTGCATCTGAATAGAGGAGATTGGTTTGTTGTAGACAGCCAAAGGAGGAGAGGAGTTAGCTAATCTATGTGGGGGTCTCTGTAGGGAAGCAGATTCAGATTATTAATATACAGGAGGATGCTGTAGTCTTTAATTTCTGCACACAATGAAGCTGTGCCATTCCCATGTGTCTGAGGCATTGTGGTCCTTGCCATGGTCATGGCCAGTCCACAACACATTCACTTGGGGCTTCATTTGCTCCTTACACATTACCTCATGTCTTCATAGAAGGGAGGGCATGGCTCCACTTACCAGATCAATAAACTATGGTATCTGATGTAAGTAATGAGAAAATAATTACCTAGCACCCTAGTGTCAGTATCTTTGGTGAAGTTGATTAAAATATCTGTGTTAATCCCATGGGAAAAAGTGGTTGGGCTTCACTATTTGTTTTATTAAAGAATATTCATAAACCAGACACTGCCATAAAGTCACCCCAGAGGATGAGGCAGAAGGAGCACGAGTTCAAAGCCAGCCTTCTCTACA